ACACTAACGTTAAAAAAGTGAAATCGCAATGAACCACCCCTTTAAGAAAATGACAGATCGTTTCTCTAGATAAGACTCTTATTCCTCGGCTGGGATCGTGTAGAGCCCTTTGAAGCTACATTGAAACTGCATTTTGGACCTTCAACCCTGTTGGTCCCCACTGAAGTCCATTATATTGAGAAAAATCCTGGTATGTTGTCCTCAAAAAAGACAGAAAGACATGAACATGATCTTGGATGACATGGGGGTGAGCAAATTATCAGGACATTTTTATTCTGGAACTGAACTAATCCTTTAAGTGAATGTTCCTCACTTGTTCGCCTGTTGCTTTTAAAGGCATCATGTAGTGTTTGTTGCAGCATTGAATTACAGTTACACTATGTTGGAACCCCCCCCCCCCATTTTTTTTTTTTTTTTTGCTTCCGACACCCATGGCTGAAACGGTCTCCATTTAAAATTCATTCCTGCCAGTGCAGTGACAGTACAAACTGCACACACACCACGCATATGCCTTAAATACACAGTGCCCACTGAGCTCAACTGTGAACTGACATCACGACTTGCTAGCCCCAGTGTTAAAGATTCAAGTAAAATGATCTAAAAGCAGTAGAAAGTCAAAGGATCAGAATTTAAAAAGCAGACATTATGACATCAGGATTCTAAAGGCCATTGTGACATCACTGGCAGTTACATTTTCAGTTCTGAACATTCTATGTGGGCGTTCACACAGAATGTTTTTTTGTTTTTTTTTGCCTATGGAGGGACAGAAAGCTCTCAGATTTCATCAACCATATCTTTATTTGCGTTCGGAAGAGGAACAAATGTCTCACAGGTGTGAAACGAGATGAGGGTGAGTAATTAATGACAGAATTGGCATTTTTGGGTGAACTTAACCCTTTAATTTGTCCATGGTTTCATCTTCCAACTGGAAAAAACAAACAAACAAAACTATGAAAGAAGCTGTTTTGGTGCTCAGTGCAAACTGGCCAAGTATGTACTAAAATACATACTACCGGATATTGCTCACTGAATGTTATTACAGGACAGAAGGAAAAGCTGTGCTGCTCTAGAACTTTGCTTGCTAAAATTAGCTACTTGTTTCTATGGACAAAATTACAATTTTAAAGGGTTTTATGAAAGCGTTTTCAAGTATCAATCGCTTCTTAGCGTGAACAGCATGTAACGAAACTTAAAAAAATGAGAGCCTGTAGACTAATTTTTATGTGAAGGACTCAGGGTGGATTTGCTGGGAAAAATGTCATAACAGTGAATTATAATGAACCTCATGATGTCTGTGAATCGCATTGGCCTACGCTCGCTCGCATTACTATGGAGTTTGTGCAAGAGCATGAGTAATAAGTTGCTGGCTGCAATTCACTTAATGGCCACCGGTGTCGCTAATAACAAGGGTTTCTGAATTCTAGAGCCCTTTTACAGCTAAATATCAGCATTTTTAGGTGTTAACCTTTACTGTTGACTCTGAAATAGCTTGAGGCATCCTCTGGAGTAGGACTAGGCGGTATGACAATACAGTTTCACAGGACTGCTTTATTTTTTGACATGCTGATAAGGAAACGATAAAGGAACGATGAAGAAACATGAAAAAATAAAGCATAGACATGCTTGATGGTATTCAAGCATGCACAGTCGGTTGTGTCTTAAGTGAACATAAGAAATTTGAAGAAATATGGATCAATATATTGTCTAGTGTTAGGGTTAAAGAATTTGTTTATAAGTTGTTCAAGGAGGGGAAAGCACTTCTCTTTTTTTATTATGTGTAGTGTATCTAACTCAGTATTACTAAATATAATGGCAGTGTCTCTTGCACTTCAAATGATTGCTTGTAAATATTGTTTGTATTTTAATTAAAAACATTTGATGAGCAAGTATTTGTAATTTGTAACAAAATACTTGTTGATGTATTTGTGCCCATCTCTGGTGCAAAGACCGTCCGTCTAGCGCGTTTACATAAAAACACATGGAAAAGCACATTATGTGTGAACAGCCCCTAACAGTGCAATGGCACAGCGAGAAAGATTACTATAAAGGTGCGATCATGTTTACAATTTTTCATGAAAAATTGAATTCCAGTCATTTCAATAACCGACTTCAGTCTGGGTAGAGCCATATTTAATTTATTCCAGTAATGAAAACGAGGGATAGAAGTACAGTGCGTTCAATGAATTGTAGTGTGGTTTAACAACAAACATTTGCTTCTCGTAGCCTATAATCACAAGATAGGGAAAAACGCGTAGCTGTGTGACGCATGCGCAGACGCGGTGACGCTACTGATGATTAAAGCGACTGTCCGACGAGCTTTTATAACGAACATCCTAAACTTTTCAGGCTTGATGGGGTCCTCATGTCCACACGTACACTGATATTTTTTTCAAGGAGTTTTTCCTTCTTCCGTTTTTAAAAAAATCTCCGTCCACATGAAAACGCAAATGCATGCTATGAAGCACTGTCAAGAGCATGCCAAACCAACAGGTGGCGATATAATCTCAACCGTAAAGCCATGTTGGCCAATCAGAAGCCTGAAAAAGTTTCCAGTAGGCGGAGATAACAGCGCAGGCTCCGACGTCACATGCCAAAAACTCCGGTTTCGCTGTCTACACGATAACACTGCAACCGGAGTTTTTGAAAATCTTCACCCTGGCAGCCATTTTCGGTTTCAGTGAACTGGTACTGCATTTGCGTGTGGACGAACGGCCAAACCGCATAGAAAAAGCTGCGGTTTTAAAAATAATCGCGTTCGTGTGGACAGGGCATAGTTACATCACACGTGTCTTCACTGACAACCGGGGGAAAAAAAACTAATCCATAACTAAACTCGCGTTTTATTTCAATGATAATCATTATATATATATATGGCCAATATAAAAAAAACGATATATTTGAATCATCATATTTTAACTTTTATGAACTTCTTCCACTCTCGCACCTGTAAACTCACTCTGAATGCTGCTGCTTTGCCCCGCCCCTGACTAATAATTGCAACATTTTGATTGGTCCAATTCTACATAACTCAAACTGCATCTTGATTGGTTAGAATGTAAACGCTCTTTAAAAGCCGAGAATCAGTGCAGTTCTTGTTACTTTTCAGGCTCTGGTTTTCTGTAAAGCATCGTCTATTGAGAAAAAGCAGAGTTGTATACAAATAAATAAAAAACTAACTTCCCTAATATATACCAGAATATGCATAATGTGTAGAAAAAGTTTAACATCATCTTCCTTCATGATTAATTTCCATTCAAAAAAATTCTCATTAATAATTAAGTAATCTAATAATTATATTTATAATTAGGGCTTCATATTTATATTTTAATATGATCCCATTTTCTATTCTAATTTAATCAGTTTTTTTTTAAATGTCCAAGATGATCGATGTGAGATAATATCCTTCCTCATAATGGAGTGACAGTAGAATGAGTTTGACTTTGTGAAATGGACCAAGAACCAAATAAACAGATGGCTTTGTTTTCTACTGAGAGGACTCAATGGGAAACGGCCTAGTTTGGCCTGAAACTCAATTGCGCAGTTCTATAGACATTTTTACAGTTTATTACCATCACAGCTTCTGTGAAGAAACCGTTCCGTTCCCTGCAGCGTACTACCATATAAAATGCATTTTGCCTGGTATTTAATGGTAATTAACTTTGACTAAGGCTTTTGAATGAATCTGCGTGTTCTTCCATTCTTATTGATGAACCCAGGTCAGTGAAGCTAGTGGTGTGTTTCAGTAGATGAAGTGAGAGAATGGTGCGTTTATAATGAGATCTTGATTTCGTTTTGAAGACTAATTTTTCCTGGATTTACTGCAGGTCTCACAGGCGCACTGCAGTCTTATAAGCTTATAATGAGTGTTCTGCCACGTCTTGAAATAGTGTAAAGTCATTTCTAAAGCAAAAATGTAATATTACTATCTTGCGGAGTGAGACCAGAGATTGTTTGGAAGTCTAAAAATGAAGACACAATGAAATCAAACGTATATCTAATATATCTTACTCATTTTCTATTTCTAACTATTTGTACAATGTGTGTTTTAAGAGGGAGACTACAGAAGCTCAATGAGCTTAAATGAGTAGTTCACCCAAAAATGAAAATTTGCTAAACATTTACTCACCCTCAGGTCATCCAAGATGTAGATGAGTTTGTTTCTTCATCAGATTTGGAGAAATGTAGCATTACATCACTTGCTCAGCAATGGATCCTCTGCAGTGAATGGGTGCCGTCAGAATGAGAGTCCAAACAGCTGATAAAAACATCACAATAATCCACAAGTAATCCACACCACTCCAGTCCATCAGTGAACATCTGGAGAAGAGAAAAGCTGAAACCGTTGCTTCAAACCGGTGCTTCTGGCTAAAATACAAGTTCATAATCCATAATAACACTTCCTCCAGTTAAAAAGTGGTCTTGTGTGAATCAGGAGAGAAATCTGCACAAGCACCGTTTACAAGCCAAAACAGCTCTAAACAAATATGTGGCTGGATTTTGATGTGAGAGACAACAGGAGACTTTTTTATGGGACCAGAAGCAGTGGTTCAAAGTTAAAACGTCTTGATGGATTTGTTTCTTACAAACATGCAGCTTTTGACTTCATAAGATGCTAACTGATGGACTGGAGTGGTGTGGATTACTTTAACTGTCTCCAGACAAGGTCTGTAATATATCAGTCTGCTGCAAAGTTGCAAAACCTGTGTTCAGTGCTATGTGTGCATGTATTGTTTAGGTCTGATTGATGCAGGAAGGCTCTAAATAAATGAGCACTGGTGCAATCAGTCTCTGTACCTTTCATAAATCGACAATTGTGTCAACAAAATGGAAACAGCAGTTTACAGATGAGCAATTTCATGCTGCATAATGTGAACGTTTGTCTTCGGAATGAACCAGATGTAATCAGATGGAGGCATGATGACAATCTGAATTTATGTGTTGTGATTTTCAACATGGAGTGTTTTAACTCTAGATTCCTTGTGTCTCTGTGTGTCTCTCAGGTCTCTGTCTGGTCGTATAGTCGGAGGCGTTTGGTGGTTCTTCACTCTCATCATCATTTCCTCCTACACGGCAAACCTGGCTGCCTTCCTCACCGTGGAGAGAATGGTGTCGCCTATCGAGAGCGCAGAAGACCTCGCCAAACAGACAGAAATCGCCTACGGGACTCTTGATTCCGGTTCCACCAAAGAGTTCTTTAGGGTGAGAGAACAATATCAGTGGTAATAATAAAACAGAAAATCAAATCAAACTCAAAAGAAAATGCATTTAGACTTACCTTGTGGTGGTAGAATTGTGTCAACTGGTGGAGATCTATAAAATTCTATATATACATATATATCTATATTACTATAAAGCACATATACTGTATATATTTAAGATTTTTACAAGATTTTTTATTCGGCAAAGATGCATCAAATTGATCAAAAGTGACAGTAAAGACATTTATAATGTTACAAAAGATTTGTATTTAAAAGAAATGCTGTTCTTTTGAACTTTTCCTTCATCAAAGAATCCTGAAAAATAAAATGAATCACAGTTTCCACAGAAATATGAAGCAGCACGACTGTTTTCAACATTGATAATAAACAGAAATGTTTCTCGAGCAGCAAATATTAGAATGATTTCTGAAGATCATGTGACACATGATACCGAGTGACACATGATACACACTCGGACAGCTTTGATCACAGAAATAAATTACATTTTACTATATAATCACATAGGAACCAGCTATTTTAAATGGTAAAAAAATATTTCACAATATTACTGTTTTTATAGTGTTTTTAATCAAATAAATGCAGCCTTGATGAGCAGAAGAGACTTCTTTCAAAAACATAAAAAAATAGTAATTATTCCAAACTTTCAAACTGTAGTTTATATGTTTGTGTGTGTGGGCTTGTTTTGTAGTGTAAGGTATCCAAAGACAGACAGACCAGGCTGACATGCACACTACAGTTCAATCATCACAGTAATAGATCAGAAATTTAATCAGACTCCAAAGAGTATAAGAGCCAAACCTGCGCTACATCTACACAGAGAGACGGGAGAGGAGCTGGAAAAGCTATTTACTCAGAGAGCAAAGACAAAGTGACAGAGGGAGAAAGACAGATAGGTGGAGAGAGAGAGAGAGAGAGACGGGTAATATGAGAGAGAATCTGCGTGAGCTGAATGAATGGTCTGTTCATTAATTAGCTGAGCAGCGCCGCATGTGTTTCACTCGGTAGCCGTCTCCCTGTTGTCATACACAGATGGTGTGATGCTACTCTCTTACATAAACATTCATTTTCTCATTCTCACTGCCATTCGGTTTCCACCGACCTGTCACACTCTCTCCGCCATATTTTCTCATTCAATCTGCACTAACCTGTCTCACTTTCTTTCTGCCAAACTGTCTCCCTCTCCCTCTCTTCTTCTCTTTTCCAGCCTGTCTCATACTCTTTGAGCCCGTTTCACTCTCTTCATCAGGTTTTCTCATTCTTTCGACCAATCTAGTCGAAGTCAAATCAAATTGATTTCACAGTGCACATTGTTTCAAAGCAGCTTTACAGAAAATCATGATGCTAATGTTTATAATATCTAAATATCTTCATGCATTATAGTCGCTTTAAGAGCTGGGCGATAATATAGTTATCACTTTGTGTGTACTGCACGAATAATTACATTTTTAAAATTTCTTTATAAGTCTCTTCTGCTCACCAGGGTTGCATTTATTTGATCAAAAATACAGTAAAAACTGTAAAACAGTGAAATATTTTTACAATTTAAAATAACTGTTTTCTATACGAATATTATGTCAAATGTAATTTATTTCTGTGATGCGCTGCTGTATTTTCAGCATCATTACTCCAGTCTTCAGTGTCACATGATCTTCAGAAATCAGTATAATATGCGGATTTGCTGCTCGAGAAACATTTCTGATTATTATCAATGTTGAAAACAGTTTTTGCCATTTAACATTTTTTTGGAAACCGCGATACATTACCATTTAAAAGTTGTGGTATGTAAGATTTTTAAAAATTTTTGTAAAGAAATTATAACTTTTATTCAACAAGGACGCATTATATTGATCAAAAGTGGCAGTAAAGACATTTATGTTACATTAGATTTCTATTTCAAATAAACGCTGTTCTTTTGAATTTTCTATAAATCAAAAATCCAGAATAAACTGTTTCCAACAACTGATAATAATATGTACCATTATAAATACTTGAGCACCAATGATAACTGAGCAGCATATTATACTGATTTCTGAAGATCATGTGACACTGAAGATTGGAGTAATGATGCTAAAAATACAGCTTTGATCACAGAAATAAATCAAAATTTACATTATATTCAAATAGAAAACAGTTATTTTGAATTGTAATAAAATAACAATATTTCTATTTTTACTGTATTTTTGATCAAATAAATGCAGCCTTGGTGACTAATTTCAAAAACATTAAAATGGCCAAACATTTGACTGGTAGTATGCAGATAAATGTGATAATACATACAATACAATATGCAATAATACAGTTTACATTTTGCAACCATGTAAATTCTAATCTGTCTCACTCGCTATAATCCCATCACAATAACTGTGGCATCCGTCTCAGCAGAGCGTCGCTGATATACTGGCCAGAAACATTTGATCAGTTACCCAGGGAATAAGTAAATGTCAGGCGTCCCGTTGTGTTTGGACTAACGCGTGAGTTTGTTTGTCAGTTGCTGTGGGGCGTTTGTGTCTGAGCGCAGGTTTGTCGAGGGTTTCGTCGGCGTGTGTGATGTTTTATTTTGGAGTGTTACAGCACAACAGTGCTCCAGACTGAACGTGACGAACATTATAATGAGCCGGCTGTCCGTCAGGCTCTGCTGCTTTCCTCTCACATACTGCAGCTTAAGACTAAGCCTGTGTATAAAAGAGGCGCAAATGATCAAGTACAAGACACACGGGGATACCAGTATGTCAAATATGATATCTCACAGGACAAACACACACATTTCAGCCATATTAGACCCATTTGTCTTTTTTACAGCAAAGCCAGCACAGTAGTGCACACTTCAGAGCTGACTGCACAGTGCAGAACAAGATCTGAAACATAGGATCTGTTATAATTTGACAAATCAACGTGTGAGTAGCCACAAAATTAATAAACTTTGGGGTCAGAAATGAATATTTTTATTGAGCAAAGATGCATTAAATTAATCAAAAGTGACAGTAAAGGCATTTATAATGAGAACAAATAAATGCTGTTCTTTTGAACTTTCTATTTATCAAAGAATCCTGAAAAATAAAATGTATCAGTTGAGCAGCACAACTGTTTTCAACGTTGATAATAATCAGAAATGTTTCTCGAGCAGCAAAGCAGCATATTACAATGATTTCTGAAGATCATGTGACACTGAAGACTGGAGTAATGATGCTGAAAATACAGCTTTGATCACAGCAATAAATTACATTTTAAAATATATTCACATAGAGAAAAAATATTTTACAATATTTACTGTATTTTTGATTAAATAAATGCAGCTTTGGTGGGCATATAAGAGACCTCTTACAAAAACATCTTATGACCCCAAACTTTTAGACATTTTTTAGACTCCACACTTTCTTTCTTCTCACATCATCCAATAATTTCAGCTCAAATCAATATTGCATGTACATATATTAATATAATGAGCAAGAATTGTACAGAGTCAATAATACCATCAGGATGATAGAAGAAGCCTTTGCACTGTGTAAGACAAGGTTATTATAGTTAACTAAAACTAAAACCATTAAAAAAATACATTTAGGTTATTTAATATAAAATACATATTCATTAAAAAAATAGTTTAATTAGTTACTAAAGTTACTAAAATAACTAAAATGAAATATACTAAAACTAATAAATAAAAATCTATAAAAACTGTATGGACATATAAAAGAAAACTAACAATGACAAACAAAATGACTAAAATGTAAAGTGAAAACAGAAAGTATTAATATTCTATATATTAACGAAAATTATTTTATATTAAAATATTAACAAACACTTTAATAGTATTTGATGGATACTAAAATAACACTGGAATGTGAGGTTTATTTTGGGACAATGACTGGCCATATATTAGTGTTTTTATATTTAATTCTTTATGATAGCTGCCATTTGACTTACTAGGAGTGACAAAAGACACAATTACTAAAGCAAATACTATAAAATATTGACATCTTCCGGTTTTGTTTTTATGCATCACTATCTAAAAACACTGTATTTGTGATTGATGTGAATCAGATTTCATCAAAGCATTCAGGACCGACAGCATCCCGGTGTTCACTGCATGTCTTTCGCTGCGTCCTCTAGAGGTCAAAGATTGCGGTGTACGAGAAAATGTGGAGTTACATGAAGTCGGCCGAGCCCACGGTCTTCACCAAGACGACGGCCGAGGGCGTGGCTCGCGTGCGCAAGTCCAAAGGGAAATACGCCTTCCTTCTGGAGTCCACCATGAACGAGTACACGGAGCAGCGCAAGCCCTGCGACACCATGAAGGTCGGAGGGAATCTGGACTCCAAGGGCTACGGGGTGGCCACGCCCAAAGGATCGCAGCTAAGGTGGGTGGAGTATTATAACAACCGACCAATCACAGCGCTGTTATAGTATTCCACCCACCCTGCTGCGCTTCTCTCTGTTTCTGTTCCTTCCTGCTGTCTTTCTCTCTTTTCTCTGTCTGTTCTGTCCTTCTCTCAGTTTTCACACTCGGTACTCTCTGTGATGCAGTGATATCTTTGTGGTCACACATACAGTTGCTGTTTTTAGCTTTATTGGGCATTTAAAGGGGTCATATGATGCGATTTCAATTTTTCCTTTCTCTTTGTAGTGTTACAAGCTCTTGGTGCATAAAGAAGATCTGTAAAGTTGCATAGACTAAAGTCTCAAATCCAAAGAGATATTCTTTATAAAAGTTAAGAGTCTGCCACACCTACCTAAAACGTCTCGTTCTAACACGCCCCCACATGTCTACGTCACTATGTGGGAAGATTTGCATAACGCCGCCCTATAAACTATTAAAATAATAAATGTTGTCCTGGCAAATATCTTTTTTAAGGGCTCATATCGTGATAAATGAAATAGGCTTTTACCTGACAGGCTATAGTATAATTCAGATACTATTATAGCTTTTATGTTAGTTTTTATTTTTATATTATCCGTTTTTATTTTAATTTAAATTCAAGTTTAAAAGCTGCATTTATTCAATCAAAAATACAGAAAAAAAACAAATATTCTGAAATATTATTACAATTTAAAATAACTGTTTTCTATGTGAATATATTGTAAACCGTAATTTATTCCTGTGATCAAAGCTGTATTTTCAGCATCATTCCTCCAGTCTTCAGTGTCACGTGATCTTCAGAAATCAGTATAATATGCTGATTTGCTCAAAGTAGTCTTATGCAAGATAAATGTGTTGCAAATGTTAATTCATGTTGTCTTTAAATATACAGAATAATTATTAGAAATGTGCTGTTATGACGTATGTTAGCTGAAATGAGTTTCAAAGAGCGTTCTGATCTGAGGTCAGTTTTTGACCTGTGTGGAGATTCAGTTCTGCCTGAGAGGATTTTACTGACCGTCTGAGCGTGGATCATCCTTGAGAGAGTGCTTGATCATTTTGATTCTGATGGTCTACTTGTGTTGCTATCAGCCAGTTCAGCAAACTAATCTCAACACCGTGACCTTTGACCCCGACCGTTTACCCTCGCCAGAACAGCTATAAACATGCTGCTGGCGTTTACAGATTCTGTGTTGCCATCTTACATCCACCGCATAAAAACGAGCCTGTCTCTCTTTCTGTGTCTCTAAAACTGACACCAATAGACAGAATCTCCTTCTGCTGAAATCTCACATATGTCTGGGTGGATCCTTTAAAATAACAGTTCACCCAAAAATGAAAATCTGCTGAAATGTGCTCACCCTCGGGTCATTCAAGATTTAGATTTGGCGAAATGTAGCATTGCATCAGTGTCTCAGCAATGGACGCTCTGCAGTGAATGGGTGCCGTCAGAATGAGAGTCCAAACAGCTGATAAAAACATCACAATAATCCACAGGATGCGTTATTATGGATTATAGACTTGTATTTTAAATGGAAGCAACAGTTTGAAGTTAAAAGCGTCCTAATGCTGGATGTGTTTCAGCTTTTGTCTTCTCCAGATGTGAACTGATAGACTGGAGTGGTGTGGATTATTGTGATGTTTTTATCAGCTGTTTGGACTCTCATTTTGACGGCACCCATTCGCTGCAGAGCATCCATTGCTGAGACACTGATGCAATGCTACATTCCTACAAATCCGTTCCCATGAAGAAACAAATTGCACAGTTCCCGCAGATTTTAGATGAAAGACGCTGCACAGGTTGAGTCTCCACACAGACCTGAAAAACAAAACAATGGACGTGAATACTGGCGTACTGCATAGTATATACTGCACACTTCCTGCTGGCTGTTTTTAAATAGCGTATGAAGCATGCAGTATGTACAATACAAAATATTTTGTCTTCATATGATAACATCCAAAAGAACAGTTATTAACTAAAAGCATCCTACATTATGTTGCACCAATGAAAGTCATTTGTAAATGCGCTGCAAAAACATGATTTTCTTACTCAGCGTTTTTGTCTTGTTTTATGATATTAAAGGGGTCATGAACTGCGTTTTTTATGATTTTATAACATTATTTTATAACGTTATCAAGATTTTTACATAAAAAAAACTAAAATAATTGAGAAGTAATAGGCTATTTTCTGTCCTGTTTTGACTCCCTCATCGAAACGCATCGGATTGTCGACTTGGAAGTAAACGCCCACTGCTGTGATTCACTATCAGTTGTGTGTGTTTGACAGCTTACATCCTTCACAGATGGATGCATTAATACTCAGTACATATCAAACAATCAGACAAAGCAATAGTGAGCACGTAATAAAAACAGTTACTCACACTTGTGTGGCGAGACATTAGGGCCTTTCGCACCGCGGGAACCTTTTCATAGTACCAGAACTAATTGTGGAACTACCCACTTTTTGCTGTTTTCGCACCGACTAACAGATCTTTTTTCTTGTTTTAAGCAAAAACTCACTTCATTTTAATACATTTTTCAGACTTAATTTCTTCTCATTTTCCTTCTGAAGTAAATTTATCTTTATTTAAGAATTTACATATTTATAATTGAAAATAAGACAAAAATACTAAGTAAGAAAATCATGTTTTGCAGTGCAGGCAGAAGTAACATTAAAAGTCAATACACAATCCAATCTATTTCATGACCTTATCAGTTCACAGTGAAGTCCCGCTCTACATTTTTTCTTGTTTCACAAATCATAAATATGTCACATTGTGGTAGTAAAATTGCCTTTTTCACTGTGCAGCATAAAGTGTTTCATGTCATTATCAGTATTTCTCATTTCTTCATCAAATGTGACACGCTTGTGGAAACACTGAGGATGTTTCTCTCACATCTGTCTCTCGCTCTCATTTATTCCCTCTGATGTCAGTAAGAGTCTCCAGGCTTCTGAAATCGTCTTAATTTGCTTCAGTCTACAATTACACTCGAAATATGTCAGTTTTGATATGCAGGCACACAAATGGTTGGCCGCTGTTCAATTTTCTTCAATGAAAAACAGCAGATAACTAGTTTCACATTTTGCTGAAAATTACAGTGTTCATAGAAACCTCAAGTTCAATTCCTATGGGACGTTCTGTAACACCAGACACCATGCAATATTTCATGAGCCACAAAAAAAAAAAATCAAATATCACAGCCAATCAGAATAGCGTGTGGGCGGGGCTATTTCTGCAAGCGCGCTGCACTGCCGACGATGTGGATAAGTACTAATTCATATATATTAAACCTTTTTAACATTATTAAAAACACATACCGAGTGTCTAAAACAATCTTTGCCATATGATACAATTGTTTGTTTGAATAGGGTTCACAACTTGAACAAGATCTGAGGCAGCTTATTAATTGTCGTTTGACTATAAAGGTCACGCAAAATGATATTCAAACTCACATCAGAGATTTTTAAGATTAAATAAAGCACATAATCATTATCTGAAATTAGCACTGTCATAGTTTGGAGGTTGTTTTTTCCATCGCAGAAATAGAAACCGTTTAATCCCCTCACGCATTACATATGGGCGGAGCTTGAAATAATGGGAGGGGCTTAGCGACGGTGAATCGGAGGTGAATTATCTATTGTCATTTTTAGTATGCTTGTAAAGGTATATTCAAAGTCACATTAGAGACTTTTAAGATTAAATAAAGCACCTGTCTCTCGTTGCGCACTGCGTCGCGTCTGGGCGGAGCTTGAAATAGTGGGCGGGGCTTATCCCAGATCAATTCTAATCAAACAAAAAAACTTTTAAGACTAAATAAAGCACATAACATTATTTGAGATTATCTTAGTTATATATTGTAGGTTGTTGTTGTTCCAGCAGAAATAGAAACCCGAGATCCGTGTATCCCGTCGCGTCTGGGTGGAGCTTGAAATAGTGGGCGGGGCTTATCGACTGTCAATTATGCTCACAAACACAAACAAAAAATGCTGTTTTTAAATGTTTTAAAATAATAATGCTGATTTCTAAACATCATACTGTATGTATCACTCATAGAGAAATGATAATCTCAGAAAGGTCAGTACCAAAATAAACAGCAGATGAGTTTAGAGAAATGTTATTAAATTCACATTTTATTCAGTAGTGGAAAATATTGCTAAACTAGTTTAATGCAACGAGTATTTTACTTAGTTTTACTCAGTATATAGTATTACACTACTTTTCGAAAGATAGATGGAATAAAATGAGAGCGAAAGTGAGAGAGAAACATCCCATAAAAGGCCTCATTAACAGCAGCTGCCTTCCACGAGCCTCTCTTATGTTCTCTCTTGTTTTCTGTTTGTTTTGTGCCATCTAACCCGGGCTGCGTGCGGCCCGCTCTCATGTGATGTTTATGGTTTGTTGAAGAAATGCCGTAAACCTGGCCGTGTTAAAGCTGAATGAGCAGGGGCTGTTGGACAAATTGAAAAATAAATGGTGGTACGACAAGGGCGAATGTGGCAGCGGGGGCGGGGACTCGAAGGTTAGCCACCGATGAAACGCAGAGGAGTGGTAAAAAAAAAAAAAGATGACAATGTGATGCAACAGAGACATCTGCCTTGACACCACGGCCCTCGCCGGCCAGTAACGAGAGAGAAACCGACAAATGTGTCGAAGGAGAAACGCACTGAAAAAGAAGCAATTACTGTCAAAACAGAAATATTTGCTAAAAGAACAAATGAGAGCTGTACCTGCACAGAAATCAAATAAAAGAAGAACATGGTTGCTTTATATATATACAGTATATATATAGGGTCCATAAGACTGTGAACATATGTATAACTATTTGAAATTCATCAAATGAATACCAGAATAACAATTTGAATCAAAAGTTAAATTGAAAAATGTAAACTGAAATCGATGAAAAATTACCATTAATTTCAGAAAAATGTGTCAACATATAAAAAATGTAAAAACAACAACAACAAAAAAAACCTAAATAATAATAATAAATATAAATTCTAATCTCAGAAAAAAACTATTTGAGTCAAGTTAAATAATAGTGGCTGACTAAATACTTTTTTCCCCACTGTATATATATATATATATGCATATATATATATATATGCATACATACTTATTACTATGTATTATGTGTTATTATTACAAAAAATATCATATTAAAAACTATTTGGGTCAAAAGTTAAAAAGAATTTAATTCAAAAATTAACATTTCAGAAAACTTGTAATTATAATACAAATTATTATAACAAATAATTTGATTGATTAAATACAAATTAAATTATGAAAACTTATATTATTATATATTATTTATTGTTATTAAAAATATAAAATCAAAATATCTGAGTAATATTTGTAATAACAGAAAACAACAAAATAATGATTTGAGTAATATTGTTTTATAATAAAAGAAAAACAATTTGAATCATGTTATAATAAAGAAAATGAAAAATTGTATCAAAAAGTATAAAATAAATACACATGCATAACGTTTTATATATATATATATAAAATTATAATATCAAAATAACAATTTGAGTCATACGTTAAATAAACTAAATGAAAAACTGAAAAATTAACATTTCTTTCAAAAACCCTGATCAAGAGTTAATTTATCAATCTATTTTCATTTGACTTTTTAAATTTATTTTATTTTATAACATGATTGTGGTTAAATCATGAGAAATATTGACTCTTTTCAGTGTGGAGTTGTGGGTCTCTCTGCGCTCTGGGCTGTTTGTGATGAGCCAATAGTTCTGGATTAGCAGTAATTGTTTGTGTTTTGATAATGAAATCAGGGCAGTATGTGTCTGTTGCCTGAAGCGATGGAGCGAGATCCCATCCATACGTCTGTGGCTCCACACACACACACACACACACACACACACACACACACACACGCGAGCTCACACACGTGCACTCGATGGGACCTCGGCTTCATCACTTCCTGTGCTACTGTGTGCCAAGATGTATTGTAATCTAATAACATAAAATAACATGGCCTATGATGTTATTTATGTTATTCTCTCTGAGAAGAACGCCGGTAAACCTGGCAGTGTTGAAACTGAGTGAAGCAGGAGTGCTAGACAAACTCAAAAATAAATGGTGGTACGATAAGGGCGAGTGCGGACCCAAGGACTCGGGAAGTAAGGTCAGTTTCCGGACGGAAAACCGCAAGCAAACCTGAAAACCGCAGCTCTTGAAAAACACAAATACTCTCATGAAATCAATGTGATGTGTTTTCAGAAAGAAAAAGATGACCGTTGTCTTAAAATGTCGCTGTCATCATCATAAAGAGATTTGTTTCGATTTTAGCTAAATGAATAAATAAATAAAGTAGAACCTTTAGAATGAAACACTGTGACATCACAATACAAGAATGCTGCACTGTGATGTCATGATTCAAGTAAGACACTTTCATGTCATCATAGTGCTCGGTTTGGTCTAGAATGCAGCTTTGTTACAGAATAATGGATGAGTTCATTCAAATGAACAGCAAATTGGAGAGAATGTGGCACTACAGCGGCATAATAGTCACTCAATTAGCTTCAAGGCTAGTTAGTAGAAACACATTATGGCTGTAAGATTATAAGATTATATTCCATACAAATTAAAGTAATTTAGTTAGTTTTTTTCCCAAATGTGATCAAGATGAGCAAAATTTATAGTTGTAGAAAATTTCATACAGCTATTTTGTGCCATCTTAGAGAGTGCCAGGTTGTATAAATTTTTTTTATATATATATATATTATAAATAATTTTCAAGTAAACAATGTATTTTTTTGTAATATTTCAAATAACTAATTATTTTAATTAATTATCATTTAAATAAAAATTAAATAATTTACTTTAACTATTTTCCACAATCTGATCCATAGATTTGTTCATTTAAATGCATTTTAAACATTTTAGTTTGAAGTATTAAAAGAACAGAAATGTGCAAAATACAGTCATTTACTTAGTTATGAGGGGGCTTTTTTCAAACGCAACAAAAACATACGAGAAATAATTCATTATAATTTCAATAATAAATAAATATGTTTAAAATGTATTTAAAATACATTTAAATTAACACATTAACGTATCAAACTGGGGAAAATATTTAATTTACCAAATTATTATTTAAATAATAATTAAATAATTTACTTTAAACATTTTTCCCAGTTCTATAAATTGTTGTTTAATTTAAATGCATTTTACATTTTTTTTAATAAAAGTATAAAGATAAATATAAGACTATATACTGTGTAAAATTGAGTTACTTTTAATTACTTACAAGGGTTCTTTTCAAAATAAGATAAATATTTAATTATTATTTTAATGAACTATTATTTAGATAATTAAATAATTTACTGTAAATAATTATTTCCCCAAGTTTGATACATTAATTTATTCATTTAAATGCCTTTTAAACATTCTTATAGAAGTGTAAAAAATACAACTATACAAAATACAATCATTTGGTTCCAGAGGGTGCCAGAAATCACTAAGAAAACTAAGCTAAACCACCAAAAATGATTAGAATTTCATTTAAATCATAGCCCTTCTGTTCATGTTTGAAATCTAAATGACAGTGGATTTCATGCTATCTGTAATAGGACAATGTAATGATGTTAAATCAATGGCACCAGTAATTCAAGCTGATTGTATCATATTCTGAACCGTAATGAAATATCTGTCATGTGTAAATGTGTTTGAGTCTTCCACTCGCCAATTCCTGCCTCTCTAACAGCCTCGTTTCTCCCTCCTTCCCCTCTGCACCGCATCCCTCTCGCTCCCAGGACAAGAGCTCGCAGGCGCTGAGCCTGAGCAACGTGGCGGGAGTTTTCTACATCCTGGTGGGCGGCCTGGGTCTGGCCATGATGGTGGCCCTGGTCGAGTTTTGCTATAAGTCCCGCACCGAGGCCAAGAAACTGAAGGTGGAATCGGCCGAACTGAATTTTAGCCCCGCTCCCAGCCCAACGCACAGTGTGCAGAACTTAGCCACTTATAGAGAGGGATACAACGTGTACGGCTCTGACGCAGTAAAGATATAGGGGTAGGACAGAAAGCCTGCTTGCGGTCGCAGGGGTTCGGCCTGAGCCTCGTCTGTCATATAGCTGCAGCAGACGTCCGCTAATGTTGTGACTGCTTCCCATCCCTCCGTTTACTTACGTTCCTTCTTGCTTTGTTCACTTCTGAAAGAGACCCCTTCATTTCTGTCGCCTGTCGTTCTTTTCTTTGTTTTCGTATGACATCTGCCTTGACTAGAACGTGTTGGGATTGCATTGGTTTGGTCTTCTTGGCTGCAGTCGCTGGTGTTTTTGCACTGCTGGCTTTCTGTTTCAGACACCTGCATTAAAACAAACAGCACACGATGACAAACACACATACACATGGACAAAGCTGCCGTATTGCATTAGGAGCTCAAATTATTACCAAACCAAACATCTTAGTATGCATTCTTCAAACACTTTATAAAGGAATGCTGCTTATATATTTCTGATTTAGAGATGTTAGCTCTCTGCTATAGACCGGCGGTTCTCAACGGGTTCTCAAAAGCAATGCTAAATGCAAATAATATCATGCAGCTAACCACATAATCTTCTTAATAAATCAGTTCACTTTCAAAAAGCATCAAATTAAACTTGATAGTATTTTGGCATAAATTCGCAAAAGTCTAATGAAACAGTCACTTAGATGGTTATTTGTGCAACAAATACACTGTTTAACCCTTGTATTATATACAAAATCCTAGGCACCATTTTTAGGCTCAGATTGACCCTAATTGGATTCAATATAATTCACCCAAAATCACACTATGAAAAACAAACAAACAAAAATATAATAAATCTTCAGTAAATCATTAGGTAAAAATAGCAAGTCTTTAGCATTAGTAGTGTTAGTACTTACACATTACAAACAGAAAAATAAACATGCAAACATTTTTAGAACTTTTAGATCTTTTTAGAACTTAAAACTTTCTTTCACAAACTGTACATTTTATGACCAGTACCATAACTTAAAAAAAAACAAAAACATTTGTTTAAACCGAAGTGTGGAAAAGCACTTAATCTGTAAATAAATGCATGGCGCTCGCAACACCAAGATCATGGGTTCAATTCTTAGCAAAAATTAACATGCATGAACTGATAAAAAATGTATGCCATCATGCAGTGGATAAAATCATCTTACGTTTTTTTATTATAATTATATTTTTATTAATATGTTGAATCAATTTGTATTTTTATATTATTTTATTTTGATTTTTGTTAAAGTTTTAGTAGTTTTGTTTTTTGTCAGTTTTAGTAGTTTTTTGGGTTTATATATATATATATATATATATGTAGTAATACAAATATATAGTATATATAGTCTATATAGTTTTTAGTTTCATTAAATTAACTTGTAATACAAATATATAGTATATATAGTCTATATAGTTTTTAGTTTCATTAATTTTTATTTTAGTTATTTTAGTTAAACAAAGTGAAATTAGTACATTAAAATGAAAAATGTTGCCTTGGCAACTATATATATATATATATCTATATATATATATAATATTTATTTATAAACATATATATATATATTGTTATTTTTTATTTTATTTCAAGTAAGAATTTTTTTTTCTTTTTATGGTTTTAGTTTTAGTTGAGTGTAATAACCCTGGCTGCCTTTAACCACGAAATATGAAATATTTTCATATAACATCATTATATAAATTTTGTATGCACATTCCACAACACAAAACTTTGCATGCATGTTCATGACCCTAAATAAAATTTAAAATTTTTAAAAAAAATCATAGGTTAACCAATGTGTCCGACAACTCAAAACCCAAATTGACACGCAACATAATACAAGGGTTAAAAATGATAAACAATTCTGGTACTAAGTTAAACCAGCTGAGATCCGCCGCTATAGACAGCAGCTATGCGCTATGAGTTATTTGGTACGAGTAAGGCATTATAGATCAAACGGCTGTTGGTTTAATGATGTTTGGTTGCGTTTCTCTTTCTTTTGTTGTTAGCGACATCAACAAACCAATCTATAATGCTGTACTGATACTGAATAATATCCGACTGTCCTCCAGACCCCTGCTTACGAAACATTAGCAGTATGAACATATAAAGTGTTGACTGTTAGGAGACACTGTACAATTAAATCCTTAGAGTTAGCGGGAACACGAGCGAAGGGCTGCATGCTTGCGTTAGAAATGCAGATGTCTAGACATGTTGTACATTTTGAGATGTTTTCTGTATTTGTGTGTGGCAGCCTTGAGCTTTTCTCCGTTCTGTCGATGTGAATGTGTCGAGTGGTTCCGTTGTGATGTCACTGTGCCATTTGCATATATTGCCCCCCCCCCTCCCCTCCCTGAGAGTTCCAAGTATTCTGACTCCGCCTCTCGTCCCGCCCCCTTCTCTAGCTCACCTTCTCGGATGCCATGAGAAACAAGGCCCGCTTGTCAATCACGGGCAGCCTAGGGGAAAATGGGCGTGTCCTGATGCCAGACTGCCCTAAGGCCGTGCACTCCGGCCCCTCCTTCCGACATGGCCCCGCCCTCACCGTGGTGTCCTCCAACCTCCCATAGAAACCAAAAACTTGCCACTTTTCCCCCCCCCCCTCCCCTCCCTGAGAGTTCCAAGTATTCTGACTCCGCCTCTCGTCCCGCCCCCTTCTCTAGCTCACCATCTCGGATGCCATGAGAAACAAGGCCCGCTTGTCAATCACGGGCAGCCTAGGGGGAAATGGGCGTGTCCTGATGCCAGACTGCCCTAAGGCCGTGCACTCCGGCCCCTCCTTCCGACATGGCCCCGCCCTCACCGTGGTGTCCTCCAACCTCCCATAGAAACCAAAAGCTCACCTTGTGCCTTAAACCATCTTACCCCTCTACCGAAGTTCAGATTTCACTCAAAACACGGGAGAAGCACGCCATCGCCGGCTCGAACGCGACTGACCTGAAAACGCACTCTTTCAGCCCTCGGAAAAGACGTCAACAATTGTAAACGAGCCGGGACGGCCTGGATACGAACGCTTTGACGTTGGCGAGCATCAAGGATCCATGATGCCTTATCCTAACTTTGGGGACGAACATCATCACATACGAGACGGAAAGTCACGACCAGTAAACTGTAAATGTAAAGACATTAGCCGCGCTTCCCTGTTTAGCCATCCGACATCAGCAAACCTGCATTAGATGTATTAAATCACAACATATTTACTACATGGTCCACAATCACTAGCTACTAAACCGTATGTAGATATTCTCTCAGGAGCCATGAAGGGGGACGACGGAAACATCTTTTATCATCTCGACAAGGATTTCTTCAAGACGCCGCTGGGAGCCGCTTGCTTTTTGGACTGAAATGTAAATAGACCAGTAGTAAAAGCTGAACATGATTTTTTTATAAAGCATCTTAGATAATAATTAATTGCAATAATGGCAATACCCTAGACCTGACTTGTAATTAAGAGATCTTTTATAAACACACAATATTATATATACAGAAACGAATCTATATAATAGAGGGACATCTGAACTAAAACAGCAGCGTTGCGTGTGAGACCATGGCATCTGTTCTGTTAACAGTTGTTTTGATAACCGATGTAATGCAGTGTGTACGTGTCTTTGTCATTAATGAATGTCCACGCATTTCAAATTTCGCACAAACACACGAGTTTAAGATGTGAACGCCGCACCACACCGGGATCACACCGACTCCCGATTCTCACCTTTGGTGTTTGGTTTTGTTTTTCTCTTTGTACCCACCGATTCAAATAAAACTGGAACATTTATACAATAATTTTTTTTTTTCCCTTTTCATGCTTTAAATGAGACAATGTGGATGAAATATGACCATTTACAGTCTAATATGCCAATTAGAGTTGCAAAGGGGTGGTACATTTCTGGAAACTTTCCAAAAATCCCTGGAATATTCCAAAAAATCCTGGAAAGTTTCCAAAATTTCTGGAATATTTCCTACATTTACTGGAAATGTTCCACCTTTTTGCAACCCTAATGCCAATGGAGTTGTTATAAAACTAGCTCTTTAAAGGGACAGCTCAGCCAAAAATTATCATTCTGTCATCATTTACATTGATTTCTTCATCTGTGGAAGACAAAAAATATATTTTAAACAAGTAAATTATGAGCGATTTAGGTACATTGTTCACACTACTGCAACAAATACCAACAAACTGTTGTAAGTTGCGCATACTTTTTAATAGTAAATAGACCAGTAGTAAAAGCTGAACATGATTTTTTTATAAAGCATCTTAGATAATAATTAATTGCAATAATGGCAATACCCTAGACCTGACTTGTAATTAAGAGATCTTTTATAAACACACAATATTATATATACAGAAACGAATCTATATAATAGAGGGACATCTGAACTAAAACAGCAGCGTTGCGTGTGAGACCATGGCATCTGTTCTGTTAACAGTTGTTTTGATAACCGATGTAATGCAGTGTGTACGTGTCTTTGTCATTAATGAATGTCCACGCATTTCAAATTTCGCACAAACACACGAGTTTAAGATGTGAACGCCGCACCACACCGGGATCACACCGACTCCCGATTCTCACCTTTGGTGTTTGGTTTTGTTTTTCTCTTTGTACCCACCGATTCAAATAAAACTGGAACATTTATACAATAATTTTTTTTTTTTCCCTTTTCATGCTTTAAATGAGACAATGTGGATGAAATATGACCATTTACAGTCTAATATGCCAATTAGAGTTGCAAAGGGGTGGTACATTTCTGGAAACTTTCCAAAAATCCCTGGAATATTCCAAAAAATCCTGGAAAGTTTCCAAAATTTCTGGAATATTTCCTACATTTACTGGAAATGTTCCACCTTTTTGCAACCCTAATGCCAATGGAGTTGTTATAAAACTAGCTCTTTAAAGGGACAGCTCAGCCAAAAATTATCATTCTGTCATCATTTACATTGATTTCTTCATCTGTGGAAGACAAAAAATATATTTTAAACAAGTAAATTATGAGCGATTTAGGTACATTGTTCACACTACTGCAACAAATACCAACAAACTGTTGTAAGTTGCGCATACTTTTTAATATGTTTCACGAGTTCACGCTTACATATAATTAGCTGAAGTATGGTAATGCATATTTGGCGTGCTGTCCGGGGAAGGGCTCCGAGCTCGGGAATGGTCCGAACCTAGAGTACCCCCCGTATAAGTGTAGTATGAACTTGAAGTGAGGGGATGGGGCGGAGGAGGGATGCTGATAACCGTCAATGGATAGAGGTAAGTCAGCTGTATTTATATCATTGTGTTGACTAACTTGAGTGCGCTCCACCTGTGTTAATTAGGCTAAGTATCTGACGTTTGTTCAACTGAAAAATGAAGAGGCCAAAGAACTTGGGAAGAACTGCTGTACAACTATCATCTGTGAACACGAAACCTTCAACAGCATACCGAGTTCAATGACCCAATTACCTCAGGCTAAATGAAAACTGTTGGTAAAAAATCATTTTGTTGCATCACTAGTTAAACTACTTTCTTCTAAACCAGATTAATAGCAGACTCAGCTTTATGTAAAACATTTGCAGGTTAATTTCCCCAAAATGTAGAAACACTGTGACTCTTTGGTGGTTTCAAATCATTGATGTGTTTGTTTGTGCATCTCAATCAACCAGCATTGACTCAGCATTGGTTATTCTCCAAAAACACCTTGAATACATCAAACTGGTGTAACCAGCTAGCTTGTTGCCCAGTCTAGACCAGCTAGAAACCATCTACCATGTTCCAAAAACAGTGACTTGCTCAACTTCATGTCGTTCCAAACCTATATGACTTTCTTTGTTCTGTGAATCTTTGCTATGGTAAAATACTTTCTCCTAAACCAGATTAATATGCAGAGTCAGCTATAAGTAAACCATTCGAACTCATTCTCAAAAAGCACCCCACATATCTTAAACTGGTATAATCAACTGGCTTGTTGCTGGTCCAAGATGGTCTACTAACTTTGCCCAGCCATTGACTAGCTAGCAACTATCTACCAAGCAATGGGGTATTTGGGTGAACTGGTACTGTAAAGCTAGTTCACACTACTGCAACAAATACCAACAAACTTTGTAGTAAGTTACTCATTACATTAGCAATACATGTACAGAGTCAGCTATAAGTAAACAATTCAACCTCATCCTCCAAAAAATCACCAGCTGGCTTGTTGCTGACCCAAGATGGTCTACTAACTTGCCTAGACCACATTGACACCATCTACCATGTTCTAAAACAGTGATTTGCTCACCCTCATGTTGTTCCAAACCTATATGATTTACTTTGTTCGGTCTGAATCCTTGCTATGGTAAAATACTTTCTCCTAAGAGTCAGCTATAAGTAAACCATTTGGTTGGTTAAAATGTAGAAACACTGAAACTGTTTGGCACTTTAAAAACATTGATGTGTTTGTTTGTGCATCTCAACCAATCCGACACCTCAGCTATGGCTCATTAGCTTTTCGAACAGACCTCATTCTCCAAAAACACCTTGTATATCTCAAACTTGTATAATCAACTTGCTTGTTGCTGGTCCAAGATGGTCTACTAACTTTGCCCAGCTAAATACCAGCCTAGACCACCTAGAAACCAGCTAGTATGTTCCAAAACACACAGGGAGACCATGTAAACACCAAGTGCATGACAAAAAGATATCCTCAAAGTATTATACATTAACTCAAGAACTCCGGATCTTAAAAAGAAGAGCATTCTTTGAGGAACCAGAACAAATGGCCCCGTAGACGTCAACATATTTCTTCTCAAGACGGTTGAGGTATAATCCGGACTTTACAAAACACAATAGAACTTCAGACGGTATTAAAGAAGAAGACAGAGAAATCTGATGGCCAGATCTCGCTCATTCTCACTTACAGACAGACACATCTGAGGCTCGCTTTCATCGGGGAGAAATCCGGCTTTCTCTGGAGATTTCCATTCCTTCCCACAGCATCAGATGCTGTTTTCTGAACTCGTCTCCTTCTCCCAGACTGCTCAGATTCAATCCCACAGGCTTTATTTGGACGAACACAAATACTTCTGTAAGAAATACAGACATCCGTGAGCTTCAAATACTAGAGATAAGAGCTGAATCATAGCAATATCAGAGGAGGGAATGTAGTGACGGATCTGACCAGAATATTACACACAGGGTGACATTTCTATGAGAAACACTTCCTGACTTCACTGGGATCATTTCTAAATGATTATGTCCCGTACAAAATAGTCCTTTCATCTGAAAGCAGACGGATCATTATGTGTTCAAGGGAGGGATGTAACGATTCACTCAACTCATGATTCGATTCGATTCACGATTTTTTTAACAAAATGAGATTTAAGACAAATTATAAATTAAAAGTGTCCTTTTATTATTGCTTGGACAAAATTCTGCACGTTTCTTTGTGAAATGGGATAATATACTAATATAGCACTTGCATATTATTGCTCTTTTGTTGGTTTTGTCCTCATTTGTAAGTCGTTTGTATAAGAATCGATTTTCAACCGGCTCGCGGTTAACCGTTACATCCCTAGTTCAAGGCATTAAACAAAACGTTTCTCAAAGGAAATGGGCTGAACACATTATTCAAAAAGAAAATATAAGCCATTTTCCTTGATGTTTACAAATATGAGCATTCATTGTACTATGACACTACCACAAAAATGGTCCAAAAAGACAATTTATTGAAATAAAACTGCAAAAACAACTAGTTAAGAGCCTTCACAACTTCCCATTTCATCATGTGACACTGATGAGTAATGATGCTGAAAATTCAGCTTTGCATCACAGGAATAAATTACATTGTACAATATATTTAAATGGAAAACAGTTATTTGAAATTGTAATAATATTTCACAATATTACTGTATTTTTGATCAAATAAATGCAGCCTTGGTGAGCATAGAAGAGAAAATATAAGCCAACTTTCCTGAATGGTTTAAAATAAGAGCTAACATTGTACTATGAAACTATCATGAACATTTCCTTCCCACGCCATTTATTGAAATTAAACTGCAAAAACAAATGGTTTAGAAATATCAACAACTTACCGGTTCAACAGTGGACACATGAAAGACAACTGGTTTTATCAAGCCATTTCAATTCTTTCAATTCTATTTATTTTTTGTGCTTTGTCACATCAGGAACATACATTTAAAACACACACAAACACACCATTTATTCACCATATTTGCACGTACAGTGCAATAAAACACCTTTCTGAGTCCATCAACACCAGCTCACAAAAACTAAACACTCATAAAACCTTTTGTCTTTAAATGACACGACCTTCATCTGAGCATGAAATCATATTCACTGGAGATCCAACTAAAAAACAAAACATGGCACCAAACAGTTTTCCACTTGATTCGAGAAATGCAGAGAGAAGCTGAACTGTAAGGCTTGTTTCATATGCTGAGTGTTTCTGCTGCAAATCCATACAAATAAAGTGATTGCTGGGTTACACCTGGACTGTTTCCTTTACTGATGGCCAAAAATTATGAAATCATGAGCGAGCTATCAAGAACTACTATTTTTTTGTTGTCATAAAGAATAAATGGACATGCTGTTTGATTTTGCATTTTGTTCAATGTCTGCATGTTACAAAGCAGCACATCCATTTCTATTTTATGGAAAAAAACAGATCAAGTTCCACATGCAATTGAAGTAAATTGCAAAGTAAACTGGACTGAATCCAGATGATTCAAATGAAAAGCCTATGCTGGAAAAGGTCTTGCTGGTAAATAGGTTTTAACCATAGTTTCTGCTAAAATTCAGTGTGGCAATCGCAGATAAACAAATGGCCCAGAACTGAAACTCTGCTTGGCAAAATAAATATGCACTGCTAAGAGCCACACGCTCACGAATGAAACTTCCAAAGTATGGGATCACGAAATGATAAAAAACGTATACCTTAAATGCAATGTGTGTCGCTTTGGATAAGATGCATAAATGCAACCAGGAATTACACAACCACAGAAACATGTAAACCAATCAGCACTCAACAACTGCAATTCAGGATCATCAAGACCTGAAAACAACTACCGTAAGAGAATACACACACACACACACTCATAAGCACTGACAACATTCACAATACAGGCCTTTTTGAGGAAATCTCACTAAACCTGTGAAGAATAGGTTTCACCTCAAAATCAAAAGAAAAAAATAAGAAAATGTCCAGATGCACTACAGAAATGTTGCCAAGAAAATAACCCCTTAAAGGAATAGTTCATCCCAAAATTTTTTTTGCTGAACATTTGCTCACCTCAGGCCATTCAAGATGTAGATTTGTAGGAATGTAGCATTGAATCACTGTCTCAGCAATGGATGCTCTGGAGTGAATGGGTGCCGTCAGAATGAGAGTCCAAACAGCTGATAAACACATCACAATAATCCACAAGTAATCCACAGCACTCCAGTCCATCAGTTAACATCTGGAGAAGACAAAAGCTGAAACAAATCCAGCATTAAGACGTTTTTAACTTCAAACCATTGCTTCTGGCTAAAATATGAGTCCATAATCCACAATAATGCTTCTTCCAGTGAAAAACTTGTCTTGTTTAAATCAAGAGAGAAATCTGTACAAATCAAGCACCGTTTAAAAGCCAAAACAGGTGGATTTTGATGTGAGAGACAACAGGAAGTGGACTTTTCCACTGGAATAAACATTATGGATTATGGACTTTTATGGATTATGGATATTTTGGCCATAAACAATGGTTTGCTGATGGCACCCATTCACTGCAGAGGATCCATTGGCGAGCAAGTGATGGAAAATCTCTCCAAATCTGTTCCGATGAAGAAACAAACACATCTATATCTTGGATGGCCTAAAGATAAGTCAATTTTCAGCGCATTTTCATTTTTGGGTCAACTATTACTTTAATGGTCCTAAAACATGGCTAATATTCTTTATGCAGAAAAATGATCCTTTTCTCTTGATTTTGGGGCGAAAATATATCCCACATGAAATATGAAATTTTGCTTTGACTGTTCACATTCATGTTTGTGAGTGTGAATAAGCAAAACTCAATCCGAGCACCTATAGTTTTACAAACACATTTATCTGTGTTCGGTCAGCTTATTCAATTATTGAAGTCAAGACCAGAGAAAACCTGATTACTTCAAAATAAAACCAGGCCTCACTTATAAAACACATTTTTTTGTACATACGAACATATAAATCACGATTCCACATAAATGGGGCCTCAGATTTGGTCCCCATCCATGCTGTAGTGTGAACACAGCTTATAAGAGCACTTATTCAATCCAGCTCTTAAACACAGTATGGTAACAGAGTACGTCTTGTAAAAATGAATCAGGAGCATCTGTACTTTTTATAATATGTGAAAAGTACGTTCAGATACTTCTGCATACATTTCTACGAGATATCAATACTCTACCAAATCGGCGGTGAAACGTCTTGTGAGTTGTTTTGCATGAACAGAAGGCAATCACGTGGGCTGACCAGAACTATAGATACAGTCAGAAACACGTCTTATACTGCCGGCGTGTTTATAAATCCTTTTTACCATAGATATCCATTCATTTCTGTAGTGGAAAACAAGAGAAATAAATCATATATTCAGATCTGGCTATTTTTTAGAAAGGAAAGCACCAAAAAAGTGATTGATTTTTGCACTTCAAATAAAGCAAAAAATTCAATTCAATTTTTTTTCCCAGTCAATTGAATAAAAGAAGCTGAAACACAAGCTGTGTAATATTAGTTTTATTTATATACTATTATAGCCTTTATTTATACTATTGTGGCTATACTATTATAGTATTTATAGTTTTAATATTTTTTTATTTTCATTTTAGTTTTAATTTGTTTGTTATTTTAAAGTAGTTTTTGTTTGAAATGTTTAATGTTTTCTTTAAATATTTAATGTTTTCTTTTAAATATTTAACTTTAGTACTTAAACTTATTTTATTTCAGTAAGTTGGCAAGGCAACATTTCTAATTTTCGGTTAAGTTTTTCATCTAATATTTATAAAAAATATTTTGTCAGTTAAAGGTAATAATACTGCTTTTTAATTGTTTTAGGGTTTTTTTAGTTAACAATAACAACACTTGTGAATACAAGCAATTCAGCAACAAGATGATAAAAGACGCATGTTTTCTTCTGTTTTTCTGTGCAATGAGGTAATTTTCTGACATTCATTTAACATTTTTCATATTTATATTTAAAAATACAAAGTCTACTCCTGCATATGTTCAAAAGTGAGTCCACATGCATATTTTCCCATCTTGTCAATAAACTTCTCACATTGATTGCTTGACTTCTTTCTTTTTCAAATATCTGACAAAAAAATTTGACTTTTTGCTTTAATTAATGTGCAAAAGACACACATATTAGAATTTTTCCCCATAGAAATGAATAGATAACTACGGTAACAATTTTTTTCCTACCCAGCTGTATCTATGGTGTTTCAGGAGTGCAGCGCCATCTGTTGTCCATCTTTGTGAAGCTGCAGCCTCTCTTTCTCCACCTGCAGGCGCTCTTTCTCAATCTGCAGTCTTCCCGACTCAAACTTGAAGAACTGCAGTCTCTCTTTCTCCAGCAGGAGGCGCTCTTTCTCTAACTTCAGCTTCTCTGTCTCCAAATCCACCACCATTGGCCAAACCAGCTTCCTGTCCTTCTCGCCATCCATTGAGGATGACGAGGGGGCAGAGGACGACGTGGTGGGCGTGGCTACAGACATCGAGGAGGCGGGGCTCTGCTGGAGGGGCGTGTTTTGTTCCAGCAGCAGTCGCAATCGTTCTCGCTCCACCTGCAGACGCTCCTTCTCTAGCTGCAGCCGCTCTCTCTCCACCTCGCCCTGCCTCAACCTCTCCTTCTCCACCAGGAGGCGCTCTTTCTCCACCTGTAGCCGTTCGGACTCCACCTGTAAGCGGTGTTTCTCCAGGTCCAGTCTCTGCCTCTCCAGCGCCACCAGCACACCTGTGTTCTCCCCTCCGGCCAGGCCCAATCCAGCTACACCCATCCCGGACAAGCCCCCGACTCCGAGCCCCAGGTCTCGAGTCACCGCCGGGCCCGACGTGGGCTTTGTGGAGCTCAGCACACCGAATTCATCAATGTGAGCGAAGACCTCAGGAACTCGGCCCTCGCGGTCCATATCAGGAAGGATGGAGGGAAAACAGTCTTCATCGTCCTCCTCACCCTCACCACCTTCTCCAACCTCTGCCTCCAACTAGAGAGATGGAAAATTACAATTAGACACACAAAGTCAGCAGCAATTATGAAACCAAGCACACATATGGCATAGGTTGAGTAGACTTGTTTCGCCATACCACACGTCACACAAAATATGATGAATTTTGTAGCAATTTTGCTCTCGACAACCATTTGTGAGGTGAAGAAGTCTTGCATTTCCTCTTAATCGCCATAAAAACTGCCACAAAAACATGATTCCTGTTTTCCTCTAAATCAGATTATAACTATATGCTCAATTCTCAGCCCATTATATGCAAGACATTACTTTATGCCTAATCCTGATTTTAAGGGTTAGACTGGCCAGTGACAAGAAAATGCAAACACGAGCCAGATGTTTTCTACCGCATCTGTGAGAGTTTTACTACTACATGCAAACAGCTACAGAAAATTACAGATTTTGTGAAAAAAAAGCTTATTTATTTATGAAGTGTGTTTCTTCAAAGGATTCTTTGGCATTCAATTTTAACTGGAGTATTTGACTACTTTTTTTATTTTTAATAAGTGCATTAAAGCTGATGCATATTGTAAAATATTATTACAGTTTAAAATAACTGTTTTCTATTTGAATATATTTTAAAATGTAATTTATTCCTGTGATCAAAGCTGTATTTTCAGCATCATTACTCCAGTCTTCAGAGTCACATGATCCTTCAGAAATCATTCTGATATGCTGATTTGCTGCTCGAGAAACATTTATGATTATTATCAGTGTTGAAAACAGTTGTGCTGCTGCATATTTTTGTGGAAACTGAGATACATTTACTGTAAGTTTTCAGGATCCACAGATGAATAGAAAGTTCAAAAGAACAGCATTTATTTGAAACAGACATCTTCTGTAACATTATAAATGTCTTTACTGTCACTTTTGATCAATTTAATGCGTCCATGCCGAAATAAAATTAATTTCTTTCAAACAAAACAGCTTGCAACATCAAAATGCTTAATGACTTCTGCCCACCGTGTGTGAGGATTACTTGAACCAAAGTAGGAGACAATCTGATGAAAGTTGTAGGATGAATTTGAATACGTAGTATCTGTGTCTAGTACATACTCTATAGCTGCTGGCCTCATTGTCCTCTGTTTTGACTCCAGACGTGTGTGTGCTGGGCTCCCCGAGGTCCGTCAGGTCCTGCCAGTCGCACGACGAGTCTTTGGAAAACCCACTGAGGTCCAGCGACTGGTCACCGCCACCCAGAGACGCGTCGTTATCAGGAGACGAAGCTTCAAACTCCTGCTTCAATCCCGACTCCAACTCAGCCTGAAGCTGTTTTCGTTTCATTAATGCGCGCCAGTCCAGGTAACGCCGCTTGACCTCGGCCGCCGTCCGCAGCTCCCCCTCGCCGAGAGCGTTCACGCTGTCTGCCACCTCCTCCCATGCTCGCCGCTTCAGCTCGTTGATGGCCATGTTCTGCTGGCGGGAGAACAAAATCTCACGTTGCTTGTGGATCTCGCGGATCAGAGTCTGAGTTTCCTTCACGCTGTAGTTGCTCTTCCTCTTCCTCTTCAGGTGCTTCATCTGCAGGAAGTCCATGCTGGCTGCTGAACAAATTCTGTCACTCCAGACACATTTTCAAGTTCATGCTGACACACGTTTAGAGCTGTAGCACAGTTTTAAGGGTGTGACGTTTCTGTTAGTAGGAAAGTGTTGTTGAGGTCATTCAGAGGTCACCTGACCGCATGCAAGACGACCGTCTGGTCTCCTACAACAAAACAAAAACACCGTTTTAGTTACACACGATACATTTATGTTCAGTAACATCTGAAAACATATCTGTACATTATTTTCTGTGCACAAAAACAACTATGAATAAAACCAGAAAGTTAAAATGTATTGCATGTATTTATAAAACATACATCGGCGTTCAAACTTTTTTTTATGTTTCTGAAAGTCTCTTCTGCTCACCAAAGCTGCATTTATTTGATCAAAAATACAGTATAAAAAGTGAAATATTATTGCAATTTAAAATAAGTATGTTCTATTGTAATATACTTTAAAATGCAATTCATTCCTGTGATACAATCTGAATTTTCAGCATCATTATTTCATCTTTCAATGTCACACGATTCTTCAGAAATCACCCTAATATGCTAGAGCTAAAAGGCAAAAAAAATTAAAAATTATGATAATAAATGTTATCAATTTTATGCGTCCTTACTGAATAAATTATTATTTTTTAAATTTAATTACATTTTTAAAAAAAAATTTAAATTGTATTTTTTTTATTTAATTTTAGTTTTAAAAAAATGTACATACTGTTAAAAAAATAAATAATGTATAGCCTGAATGCACTGTAAGTCGCTTTAGATAAAAGCGTCTGCTAAATGCATAAATGTACATTTTTATCTAAAAATAAATGAATGAATATATAATATACAAAATATTATCTATTGAGCGCAAACTTTTGAATGGTAGTGTATGTCATGTAAGTGGTATCTGTGGTATCAGCCCACACTGTCCTAAAAAAATATACAAATAACTTTTTAAAAAAATGACAGAAAGAGTCTGAAAGTTCTTATGATATGATTCCATAATCATCATGCAGTACCTTATTACAATTTCATACCATAATACAACCACAGCACATTATTACAAGGGAACAGCTGTAGTAAATATGGTGTCTTTTGTAGAAACTATGGTTGCAGGAAATATTTTGTCAAGTATATCCACATACTGTATGAATATTAATATGACACCGTCATATTGATCAAACATAAACACATCAGTGCTGCTGTTGTGTTTTTGCAGTTCACTTATCAACATGTCGCCAAAAAAGGGCTTCTATAGGCACCTATACAATGATGCTTTGCACACATGTGGCTCTTTATAAAACATAAAACAAACGCTATGACTATTTGGTTTATTTATTGAAACACTCACCGGTGGAGAAAAGCATCAGGCACTCCATCCACACGCTGGGACGCTCCGCCTCCTCAGCCGAACTGTGCCGAACACTTCCGACAACGCGCGAATCCCCTGCGCGATTGGTCTACGAGCATCGCCGCCCTCTCCATCAGCCAATCAGACGAGGCGCTCACTGAACAGCCCCGCCCATCGCATACTCTTCCGGATTCGCGTGTGTTGTGGTTTGGAACACATGTGCAGGCGTGCCAGAGAAAGCAAAACAAATGCTACACATTGCATAAGACATATGTAGTAATAATATTGACTGCATATTAGTAATTACTATTATAACAAACGGTCATTTTATAATAGATTAACAGCTGTTAATTATGCGTATTTCTTCTAGTAGGACTATAGGTTGTCGCTGACTGTTGTCGATCTCAATATCACAATTAATATAATTATTTGTTCTTAATAAATAATCATTTTAACATTTGTTGCACGTCTGATATTTAATATTATGTTAATATCACGGCTTTTCTGTTAATATTTCACTTTATTTACATTGCACAACTTTGCTGCAAACTCCTTGATACAAGTACAGACTCACTAAAGAGCACAAAAATTGATATTAAATTATATGCATTCGTTTATTATTTATTGAATGATTCATTCAATGCATATCATTTCCTATATTTTGTTTATTTATGCATTTATTTATCTACTTATTTTTTTATTAATATTATTAATGAATTGGTTAATTTTCACATTATTTATGCATCATTCATTAATTAATTTATTTATGCATTAATTCACTTATTCATTTAGGCATTCATTATTTATTTATTGACGCATACATTCATTTACTAATTAATTGATTTGTTTATTTATATATTGTTTATTTATTCAGTTATTAATTAACGGAATTATTTTATTTATGAAGTCAATCATTATTTATTTATTTAGTTTAATATTTAATTAATTTATTATGCATTTATTATTTATGCATTGATTCATTGTTTGTTTATTTATTTAATCATAGTGTCATGCTGTCTGTTGGTTTTTGCAACTGTGTGTGTGTGCACCAGGCTGGTCGTCTGCTGATCAGAAAGCTGGGGTGTGAGAAGATGGGTTTTGCATGGGACGGGTTTCGTCTGGAAAGAACAGCCCATCATGGAGATAATGCCGTGCTGGCAGCAGAACCGGGACGCCAGGTGGGCATAGACGTGATGAAGACAAGCAGACCAGGTAATTGTCACTGCCCTTGAGCACTTACTAGTCACCTGAGCATCTTGAGCCAATATAATACAAGATGCTCTGCCGTTCCATCAGTGGCCAGCAGGTGTCGCTCTATACCTGTGCTTTAAGTAGAGCAGCCTGAGAGAGTGTGTAGCTGAAAAAGAATCATTTCTGACTCTACTGTAAAATGTAAATCTGCATCAGCTCATGTTTCCGTGCAGAACATGATTACTACATTACTGGTTTTTCTTGCTCTTTTAAAAACACTGCATAGTTTGATGTACTGTTTTATATACTATAACATCCAGAACTCGAAACTCCCTCCAGTGTCACCCAAACATTTTCTGAACTATTGCAAAAACAGCTCATCAATTCTGACATCATGGCTTTGAGTTAGTTTTTTTTTTTTGGCTTGATATAAACTCTACTGGCATTGTTTAAAGTTTAAGAAATCATTACATTAATAATTTTTAGAATTTTATATATATTTATAATAGTGTTCAAGAAGTTACTTTCATAGTAATTTTAGCATTTGTAATAATACTCATATGTTATATTATTATTAAAAATGTAAATAATTATTCATAATAATACTTAATGTAATGTAATATGTAAATTATGAATATTTAAATTATATTATAATTATTTTAAAATAAAATAAAAAAAAATTTAATGTTCATAAAGTTATTACATAGTATTTTTTATAAATCGTTTTATTATTTTTACTTTTATAATTAAAAAATATTTAAATATATTACAAAAAATATATATAAATGGTAAAAAAAAAAAAGTTCTTCAATTATGACATCACAACTGAGCTCATTAACATAACGCTTTCATTTAAATATCAACACCTGTTCAATATTAAGCGACTGTGCCAGAACACAGAGGTTAGCCAATTATATGTTAAAGGAACAGTAGCAAAAAAAAACAGTCCGTTTAAATGTAAAGCTCAGAGAAATGGTGGGAAAATGATCGTAAAAAATGTACAAATGTAAAAAAGTACATTTCTTGTGCCGAAACCTTCACTAATGTGAAATTCAAGGGTAAAATGTGTAGAATAGGAGCTTTTAGGTGTTTGATATGCATTTTTGTGTGCATATCAGGCAGTAGCTCCGTTCAGGAGTTTTTCTGCATCATGAATCGTCAGTTCACGGATCTTGAGTGGACGAACATACAGAAGGCCGGATCAGACTGGGACCAGCTGGACATGTTTTATAGGCACTGGGTAACTATAGCAACCGCTGCTTCCTGTAGCATCATCATCATCACCTCCAAGCAATGCACGCGCGCGCACACACACACACATCGCAGCGGGAGAGAAATTGTGCTGGATGAAAGAAACTGTTCCAATTCTGATCCCTGTTTCCATGGCGATGTGATCTCATCACTCCAGCATGACTCCGTTATGCCAGTCTGTGGTCATTTGAGGACTCTCATAAACACACACGTACGGGTATCAGTAAAATGTGCTGTAGGTGAGAATGTGGTCAGTCACTATTACAGCACACACACACACTTACCTAGCTGTCCAGACCTAACCCTACAAGAACACTATGCATTTTTACATTTTTAGTTAAAAACAAATAGCATAATTTGCCTTATTTAATCAATCATTTTACCTTTGAGGATGTCTGCAGAATATCTTACAGTAATTAAATGATTTTGAACAGTTTGGGTTTTGAGTTTTATAACAAAGGAGTTTGTTTTTGCTTTGATTTTTAAAAAGAAATAAAGTGTCGCAATAATAACTAGAATATGTATACTAAAATCCCGATTTTACGCTGATTTTACCAAAGTAACCAGTGTTTTATGTGTTGTGATGTTTAATGTGCAAGAAATTATTACACAAATTCTTCTTTAGAATTTATATATATATATATATATATATGTTAGTTCACAAAAATATTACATTCATTTTTACCAGTAATATTTTATTCATATTTTTTAGAATGTTTTTCATAACACTAATGTATAATTAAAAATACAGTTAATAATAAAGTTACTACATTAATAGGATTTTTTTCAGAAATTGATTCTTTTTACTTTAATTTTAAAAAAAAGTGAATGAGGTTTCAGATTTAGCCCATATAGCCAAGTAAACACTATACTGTGCACTGTTTTTCCTTACATACTGGTTTTGCATACTATGTTTAATATGCAGTATACATACTCTAAATTATTTAAGCATTTCATTCTAAACATATCCAGAGGCCTGCTTACCTCTGATTGGTCCGTTTCTTTGTCCGCCGAGGCGCTGAAGGAGAGTTTCATCAAAGCGATTGGCTCAGGGCTGAGTTTCACATCTCACCCAATCAGATGTGAAATGTACCTGGATAATGAAGAGTGTGAGTGTGTGTGTGTAAGATAGTGTGAGAGTGTGTGTAAGAGTGTGTGTGTGTGTGGGTGAGAGTGTGTGTGTGTGTGGGTGAGAGTGTGAGTGTGTGGGTGAGAGTGTGAGTGTGTGAGAGAGTGTGAGTGTGTGAGAGTGTGTGAGTGTGTGAGAGAGTGTGAGTGTGTGAGAGAGTGGGAGAGTGTGTGAGAGAGTGGGAGTGGGAGTGGGAGTGTGAGCGTGTGAGAGAGTGTGTGGTGTGTGTGTGAGAGTGAGAGTGTGAGTGTGTGTGAGTGTGAGTGGGAGTGTGAGCGTGTGAGAGAGTGGGAGTGTGAGTGGGAGTGTGAGCGTGTGAGAGAGTGTGTGAGTGGGAGTGTGAGTGTGTGTGTGTGTGTGTGTGTGAGTGTGAGTGTGTGAGAGTGAGAGTGAGAGTGTGTGTGAGTGTGAGTGTGAGTGGGAGTGTGAGCGTGTGAGAGAGTGTGAGTGTGAGTGAGTGAGTGAGTGAGTGAGTGAGTGAGTGAGTGAGTGAGTGAGTGAGTGAGTGAGTGAGTGAGTGAGTGAGTGAGTGAGTGAGTGAGTGAGTGAGTGAGTGAGTGAGTGAGTGAGTGAGTGAGTGAGTGAGTGAGTGAGTGAGTGAGTGAGTGAGTGAGTGAGTGAGTGAGTGAGTGAGTGAGTGAGTGAGTGAGTGAGTGAGTGAGTGAGTGAGTGAGTGAGTGAGTGAGTGAGTGAGTGAGTGAGTGAGTGAGTGAGTGAGTGAGTGAGTGAGTGAGTGAGTGAGTGAGTGAGTGAGTGAGTGAGTGAGTGAGTGAGTGAGTGAGTGAGTGAGTGAGTGAGTGAGTGAGTGAGTGAGTGAGTGAGTGAGTGAGTGAGTGAGTGAGTGAGTGAGTGAGTGAGTGAGTGAGTGAGTGAGTGAGTGAGTGAGTGAGTGAGTGAGTGAGTGAGTGAGTGAGTGAGTGAGTGAGTGAGTGAGTGAGTGAGTGAGTGAGTGAGTGAGTGAGTGAGTGAGTGAGTGAGTGAGTGAGTGAGTGAGTGAGTGAGTGAGTGAGTGAGTGAGTGAGTGAGTGTGTGAGTGAGTGAGAGAGAGTGTGTGTGTGTGTGAGGGAGAGAGTGTGTGTGAGAGAGAGAGAGAGAGTGTGAGTGGGAGTGTGAGCGTGTGAGAGAGTGTGAGAGAGTGAGAGAGTGTGAGTGTGTGAGAGAGTGTGTGAGTGGGAGTGTGAGTGGGAGTGTGAGTGTGTGTGTGTGTGAGTGTGTGAGAGAGTGTGTGAGTGGGAGTGAGTGTGAGTGTGTGAGAGAGTGTGTGAGTGGGAGTGTGAGTGGGAGTGTGAGTGTGTGTGTGTGTGAGTGTGTGAGAGAGTGTGTGAGTGGGAGTGAGTGTGAGTGTGTGAGAGAGTGTGTGAGTGGGAGTGTGAGTGTGTGTGTGGAGCCCTGCAGTGCTGCTTCGTCTCGGTGTCTGTCAGAGCGTGTGAATGTGACACAGATCACAGGTGCTTCTCGCTTCCAAGACAGAGCTCACATCCTTCATTTCTCTGGACTTCATCTCACAGCTGCGAGAAAGAAAAAAAAATAAAGTTAAAAGTATTTACCAGCAGAAACAAAAACACAGAATTCTGAGAGAAAAAAGTTGGAATTGCAAGAAAAAGTTTCTATCTGGGAAAAGAAAAAAGAATTGTGATAGAAATTTGCAATTACCTTTTTTATTCCCTGGCAGAAACAGACTTCCATTAGTTATATGTATAGACATACATTACAAAAAAAGTTTATAAGTGTAAAATTATTATTATAATGCAATTTTATATATATATATGAAGTTCCAAAAAAAAAATTAAAATCTAAAAAAATACTATTAAGTCATTTTCGTTAATACTATTAATTGTAATAATTTCAGTATATATGGAAGCCTGTATCTGACAGAACAAAAAACAATATATATATATATATATATATATATATATATATAAAATATGTATATAATTTTTTTAATACATTACGTAGGCCTCATACATGATAGGTCTATACAGTAGTTAATGTTCCATTAATTGTTGTGCAATTTATTATTAATATTTTTAAAGAAAAATATTTTTTACCATTTATATAAGTAGAAATACCAGTTTGACATGAAGCATATTGGTGATGTTTAATGTTCAATAAATCTATGAAAAATAAAATAAAATAAAACAAAATATCTCATATATATATATATATAAAATAATAATAATAATGATTAAATATGAATTTTTTAAATGTGTATACATATGGCCTAGCCCTGATATATGACAGCCCTATACATTTATTTTATACAATGTACTCATAATTGGCTTTTCTTTTTTCAAGAGAGCTTATTGGACAAAGATCATCACGTCGCCGTGGCGCTGGGAAAACCAGATATCAGCACGTCTGAAGTGAGGCAATTTTACACCATTTTAAAGGTCAAGACAGTTTCATGACATTATACTTCTGTTTCATAGGGGGACTGTGGGACTGTTTGTGAAGCTCCGCCCCTTTCATTCACACGGTTGAGTTTCAGTGATCTGGTGTCTAAAGCCACGCCCCTTCTAGAGGAAGACCCCACCTACTGGGAGAGATTTCAGAGCAAAAAGGAAGCACCTTCAAGACAAAGTGAACCGCAGTGAATAAATTACATGTTTATATATATATTTGTCTTTTTCATTCCTGTTCTTAAGTATTTTTTTTTTAAAACTCTGCATCTTTAAAAAACATTGTTTATTATTTCCACAATGACAATGAACAGGACGTTCTTAAAAGTCAACTTGAAATTTACTTTCATATTTTAACCATCTTTTGAGACCTCTTTTAATGTCATCAAACTGATTAGTTTAGAGAGGCACAAACCAACTATTGATGATGTTTGTGCAGCTGTTTTCCCTCCAAAATGATGTCACTTCCTGGAGGAGGATGTCATCAAGGAGCTGGCTTTAGTTATACATATATATAAAATGTAAATAAAAATGTAACTATTTATTAAAAATAAATTAAATCATAGCCGTTTCTACCAAAATTCCTCCACAGCGATGTGAAAGACTCATTGCCAGTTATCGCAAACACTTGATTGCAGTTGTTGCTGCAAAGCATGTCACAACCAGTTATTAGATTTAGGGGGCAATTACTTTTTCACGTAGGGCCAGGCAGGTTTGGACAGCTTTTTTCCCTTAATAAATGAAATCATCATTTAAAAACTGCATTTTGTATTTACTTGCATTATCTTTGTGTAATATTAAAATTTGTTTGATGATCTGAATCTTTTAAGTGTGACAAACATGCAAAAAATTAAAAAAACAGGAAGGGGCAAAAACCTTTTCACACCACTGTATATAGAGCCTAGTCCTGACACACGATACCCTTATAAATTGGTTATTGTTCAATTTACAATATTTTAAAGAAAAAAATTTTTTTTTTTAAACCATGTTATTATAAGTATTTTATTTCATTTATTTATTTTTGGCTTGGTGTGGAGCATATTGGCGATGTGTAATGTTCAATAAATTAATACATTAATTAGTAGTCATTTTTAGGATTTATTTTTATTGTTAACTTAATTCTGTCAGGACCACTATCGTCAAAATGATAGATACTTAAAGTTTGGTTTGGCGGTATGGTTCTGTTCTGGGCAAAAACCTCCCTGCCCATCCATGCAGCCTGTCATGAATGAGCAGGGAGAGCAGCAATAATAACCCCCCCAGGGTTAACAGAACAGAACAAGGCAGATATTATTAATGTACTTAATGATATTTAAGTGTAACACTTTATTCAAGATAAAGGAGTCTGATTAGCAAAGAATATCAGAAAGCCAAGTCCTGACTGTGGCGAAAGGTGGAGCTGGGGATGGAGGAGGGTAATATGCTCCAAAGCAAGCTGAAAAACTGCTGAATAATGCGGAATAGAGCTTATATAGGAATGCCGCGATAGGTGTCGTATTCCTATAGGTAGATGTGATCAGCTGAGAATCAGCCGATGCAAGCTTGACTCACGTGACCTGCCAGAACTAACGCTAACGCTTAATTTTTGTTTAGGTAGACAAACTAACGACTGATGATGTTTGTGCTGCTGTTTTCCCTCCAAAATGATGTCACTTCCTGGAGATGATGTCATCAAGGAACTGGCTTTAGTTAGTTAATGGGATATAAACTGTGAGTGTTATTTTATCCATTATACAGTATGACATATCTGATGGGAACATGAACTGCTTAGGAATGACCCGTTTATGTAAGAGATTAGTTTATTTTCCCAACCTGCACCTCCTAAAGTCAGTCTCTCTCTCTCTCTCTCTCTCGTTCCCTCCATCTGCCACCGTCTATTTTTATCAGCAGGCCATTAGGACTGCGTGTTTGGAAGGTCCTGCTTTTAACAAATCGCTGCTGTTGGGACGCAGGTATGCATTTAGCTCGTGTTGCTGTCATCAAGGAACTGGCTTTAGTTAGTTAATGGGATATAAACTGTGAGTGTTATTTTATCCATTATACAGTATGACATATCTGATGGGAACATGAACTGCTTAGGAATGACCCGTTTATGTAAGAGATTAGTTTATTTTCCCAACCTGCACCTCCTAAAGTCAGTCTCTCTCTCTCTCTCTCTCTCTCTCTCTCGTTCCCTCCATCTGCCACCGTCTATTTTTATCAGCGGGCCATTAGGACTACGTGTTTGGAAGGTCCTGCTTTTAACAAATCGCTGCTGTTGGGACGCAGGTATGCATTTAGCTCGTGTTGTTATTGACGGGAGCTGCAGCCACACCGCTTGGGAGTCACTGAGGCTGTGGAAACTCGTACAGTAGAGGTTGAAAGAGCAAAGTCAATTACAGCAAAGCAGAACGGTCAAGGCTGAACTCGTCGAAAACGCAGATGGGATCCGAATTAGATTCAACTCTGTACCCAAATGTAATGACATTTTCTCTAAAATAGGAAAATAGAGACTGAGCAAGAGTGTTGAGTGATGTAC